CGACTAAACGACTAAACAACAACAACCAAGGAAAGCAGGTCTTAAATCTCTGTGTGGAAAATGTGGTCCTAAAAGGGAGAAGAAACGAAGGCTGCCATGAAGCCTGAACCCCTGGAAACTGGAGTCATTGAGAATGTGAAGCAAAGACCTTCCTCACGAGGGTCCTTTCACACCTCTGGAGGCGGCCCATATTCTGCCCGTAACCTTGCATAGCTGCTTAACACCACCACCACCCCAGTCCCCAGTTTTCTTAGTTTTGTGTTTTACTGAAAAATCTCCCTTGGGATTTTGTTTTGTTTGTTTTTTGCAGGCTCTTTGGGGCAGAAGTGTGTATTGGGGGCCCCTAGCGCAGGGCAGAATGAGGCTGTGGTCTCAGGCAGCGAAAGGATGAGGATGGTGGGAGAGCCACCACCCACGGTCTGCTGCCTGAGCCTGCCCACCGGCCTCTCCCTCCTAGGCTGCTCTTATCTGTTGCAATGGCCTGTGTGCCACGCAATAAACATATTTTGCTTGCTTGCTATCTGTTCCCTCTTTGGTAAACTGAGGGTATAAGGCCTTTTGCCTCGGGATTCTTGTGAACAAGGCCTTGGGATGAATCAGAGTCCATAGCCTCAGGAGGGGGGCCTTTTGAGAAGATCAGCCGCCCCAGAGCGGGTGCATGGGAGGGGCGGATCTTTTTCTGGGTGGCCCCCCAGCTGTGGCCTATGACGCCTCCTCAGAGCTGCAAAGAATTTCCAGCCTTGCTGCTTTTTGGAAAGGTGTAGAGAGACATTTTGCTACATTGGCTTTTAAGGATGTGGTGGTGATGATTTTAACAGGTTGTAAAGGGTTTTAATGGGGGTGGTGGTGGTGGTGTTTTTTGTTATGCATCTTCTGTGATGTTTTGTTGGAGGAAGTCGACCTGTTTACAAATGCTCACATATAGCATTTAATCTTTAAGGTGCCACAACGTTTATGTCTTCTTTATTTTTCCTCCTTCTTCTTTTTTGCCTGATATGCTCGGAAAAACTAAGACAACTACCTCTTCTAAAATGGCTTCAGTGGTTTTAGAGTTGATTCTGGTTGTTATGGCTGTTTATTATGGTTTCCTGTAGTTAGCTGCCTTGGGCTGTACCTCAAAGGAAGTGAAAAGCGGGGAGGGGAGGTTATGTGTTAATAATATTAATGTTTATCATTATTGTTGTCATTTAGTCATGTCCGACTCTTGGGTGGGAGAGATTATGTGTTAATAATATTAATGTTTATGATTGTTGTTGTTGTTTAGTCATTTAGTCGTGTCCAACTCTTCATGACCCCATGGACCAGAGCACGCCAGGCGCTCCTGTCTTCCACTGCCTCCAGGAATTGGGTCAAATTCATGTTGGAAGCTTCGATGACAGTGTCCAAACATCTCGTCCTCTATCGTCCCCTTCTCCTCCTGCCCTCACACTTTGCTAACATCAAGAAATTTGGGGAAATATCACCACCTGATGATTTACACCCAGACCTTCTGGGCTGAATTTTGACAATTTTTTAAAAAGTGCATTTTGGGAGGCTTTGCGGACCAAGTGCATTGGGGCCACAGTTGTGCTCCCATGAGGGGACCTATACAGCCCACAGGCTGAAGTATGATTACCCCTGTTTCAGATTATAAAATCATTAGAACTGGAAGGGATACCGGAGGTCATCAAGTCCAGCCCCAAAGGCGACAGAGGAAATGTAGAGCCGTAGCATTACCAGAATGCTGGCCGCCCAAACCTCTTGTTTAAAAACCTCTGAAAAAGGAGGGTCCACCACCCTCTGAGGTAAATCTGAAGGATGATCTTGTATGTTTCCATACAAAAGATTCAAGTTTCTGACTTTTAAAATTCTTATGTACTGGAGTAAACAGTTGTACCCCGCAGACAGTTTGGGCTACAAATGCCAGCCAAGTATGGTCAGTAGTGAGGGATTATGTGAGTTACAACATGGAAACAGCTGGAGGCCCACAGCTGCCCACCCATTCTAAGCCTTTGGAAACTGTTAAAAGAATCTGACCGTGTGCGTTCACGATTCACAGCATGACAAATTAACCATCGTCCTGCCGTACACTTCCTTTTCTCCTCTTTCCACCGGCTTACTGCAGAAACAGACAAAAGTAGAGATTCAAGAGATGAAAGCAGAATTTAGGAAACTACGTCAGGCTTTGGAAGAACAGGAGACACTTTTGCTGGCCCAGATGGCAGACATAGAGAAGGAGATTGCCAGAAAAAGGGACGAGCACCTGGACAGACTCTCCGAGGAGCTCTCCTCTCTTGGAGGCCTCATCCAGGAGATGGAGGAGAAGCGTCAGCAGCTCCCCGGTGAACTCCTGCAGGTAAGACTGGCAGAAGCAGAGCAGGCTTCTCTCAAGGGGCAACCTGGCTTGAAAACGGATGTACGCCTCCACCTTACAAAAGGAACGAAAGGGCTTGGTTTCAGGAGCTGGGATCTCACATGAGGACGTATAGGAACATCAAGATGAGCAGGATGGTGCATTGACTGTAGTGTCGATGTGGAGTTTCTGTGTAATATTGCAGTTTCACATCGCTGAATGCCAGGTGTCAGACTGGCCACTATGAGCTCTCCAGAAACATCTGCTTGGCCACTTTTGGGAATCAAACAATGGACCAGAGGCTCTGTGACCCACCTTGACCAGGGCTTTTCACTTTTTAAAATATCTTTCCAGTAACATGTTTGACACCAGCCGTTAACCACACTGAACCCAGTGGTTAAAGAATGAAAATGATATCTTTTTAGGAGCCTCATAGCGCAGTGGTTAAACTGCTGTACTGCAGCCCAAACTGTGCTCACGACCCGGGGTTCAAATCCCAGGTAGCCGGCTCAAGGTTGACTCAGCCTTCTATCCTTCCGAGGTCGGTAAAATGAGTACCCAGCTCGCTGGGGAGGCAATGTGTAGCCTGCATAATTAACTTGTAAACCACCCAGAGAGTGCTTGAAGTGCTATGGGACGGTATATAAGCAGCACGCTTTGCTTTTGCTTTTTTTTTATTACATAGGAACATTAATTTGTGATTAAATCTATGTTTCAGTTCTTCTTCAGTTACCACAACCCAATAGCAATCCTCTTCTTCAGTAGACTATCCTTTCCTTTTCCTCCAACCCCCCTCCTCCTTCAGGCTCCAGGATTGGCTGGCTACATGCACCACCCAGCCAATCACCTTGCTTCCCTGTCAACAAGAAGATTGGTCAGGGTTCTTGCCACAGGGTCTTAATGGAGCACAGCTTTTCTCATTGCTGGCTTCTGGTTATATCCCTTGAGAAGGATTCGGCACCTTCTGAGAGCCTCCATATTTTTTGCCATAAAAGGACCTGATGATGCACTGAATACAAATTAAAACAGAGAAGAAAGGAAGAAGCCCTTCCTAGCAACCGGCATCCCCAAAACATCCTTCCAATGACATACCCTTCAGCTCCTTCCCCTGGTGACAGACTCAGAAAAAGGGTTCTCTAAACCTAACAGTAGGACTCTATTCTTGTCCTGAATGTCTGAACGAGGTGGGCTCATGTTAGAATAAGGAGGACCAGTCAGCTTCCTCTTCGACTGGCATGGGAATGGCACTGAACTCTGTCTTTCTTTCACTCTTGCTCCCTCTAGGATGTTAGAAGTCTCCTGCAGAGGTAAGTGTATCCCACTCATTACAATTACCATCACATAATGATGGAAAGGCTCTGCCTCTATAAGAGAATGTGACCTACCTGGGAAGATAGCATTGGTCTACAACATTACAGGTATAAAAACATGGGCACTCTGTTTTGCCCACCCAGAGTCCTTGCCAGCACAGGGCCCCTTTCTCGCCTCCGTTGCCACGCAAGCTCCTCTTTGCCCTCTTTCGTCCTCTAGTTTGTTCTGCTGTAACTTTAAAAAAAAATAACAGTGGAATGTGGAGGCTTATAAGTCCTTATCAGTACATATTTGTTTTTAGTACATTCACTAATGTACCTGGTTGGTATGACAGACACTAACCCCTATAGTTGCCAAACATTGGAGGCAACTGG